TAAATATAAAAAAATAAATAAGTATATATATATATAAGTAAATATAAATATAAATATATATATATATATGTAAATCTATAAATCTATCTGTATCTTTTAAAATATAAATGAATAAATAAATAAATAAATAAATAAATAAATAAATATATATATATATATATATATATATATATAAGTATAAATATATATATATATGTAATTCTATAAACCTTTGTGTATTTATTTAAATATAAATGAATAAATATATGTATATATATAGATATATGTGAAAGTATAAATCTGTATATATGTAAATCTATAAATCTATGGATATCTATAAAAATATTAATAAATAAATGAATATATATATATAGGTATAAATATAGATACACGTAAATTTATAAATCTATGTGTATCTATATAAACAAAAATACATAAGTATATATATATATATATTCCTCTTATTCAATAGACTCATTGACCGAGATGAAAAGAGTCGGATGCTCTTACAGGGCTGGTGATTATGACAAGCTGGACTGCCAGTGCAATGCTGGCTGGATTGTTTAGTTTGCCTCTGCAAGTTTATCTTGGCCATTTCTTCCGGATATCAATGCTTGGCCTATTCTAAATGTCTTCGCAGTTCGTGAAGAAGAGTGGTTTGACCCATGGCTGGATGTATAAGGCACAAAGGCAGCCTCTGATGTAACGGGAGCAGATTCAATTTGGGTATAAACAATGCAATTAGGCCGATGCTCCACTCTCCCACACGCAGACCTAGTCCTCTACTTACGTCTCGACCGCAAGTAGTTCCGCCCCTCGACGTAAAAAACTTCACATCCCTTGCCACCATAGGGAGAGAGAGAGAGAGAAGTGGAGTACCGAGTCGATCAGCTCGCTTGCTCGGCCATTGGCGGCGCTTCAGCTCGAATCCTTTGGGCCTGGGTCGTCCAACTGAGCCTGGAAACAGAAAACGCCCTCATGTCGCCCCTTGAGAGGCGAGTAGACTGGAAAACTGACCAACTCTAGGGTGCGAAGCTAGTGGTACAGATGAACAACCATGAATAAGAATCAACCTCTTTTCGGTACATACAGTTTTGGTTGCCATCACGTCCAAGCTGTAGACGTTGATGTGAAATTATGGGTTCAGTAAAATTCGCATGAAACCCATTTTCTCGAAATAAGCGTCAATACAAACTTAGTTACGAATGGTAATTAGGCTTCGATGATTCTTTTGAGATTCCCTCACACTCGTCCAACATGTTAGATTAAGCTCATCAAACAAACCAGACGCACGACATTACGCAGCCCGAGTCCGGCCCTCAGTTGGTTTTATGAAATGTATTCACACTATTTCATTTAAGGTAATGAAGGACTGGTACAATAAATTTCACACAACGGTGTGAGTAATGTTGACGTTTCCGTTCAATTTCACAGACGATGTTCTCATCCATATTCGACCACGCATCGGTTTTGTCAGCACCTCAAGTGGGAATCGAACCGTGACAGTGCAGCATGTGAGCTTGACACGTTAACAACTCAGCCACGTTGCCATGACTGCCCTTGGGTCACAGGGCATTTTCTCATATCATATTATGTGATGAAATAGTCGATTAAGCAAATCTCTATTTGCTTTAGCGATCCACCATATTAATTATATTTCGTTTTTAAGTAGGTTTATGAGACTACTGATAGATAATTTACAAGAGATAAGTTCGTTTAAGCTGATAAGAGGACTGGCAGTTGAATTTTCCCGCAATCATATGAAAACAACTTTTGGGAAAGCCGGGCTCTGTAAAATTTAATGGAAGCGCTATATGATTGTGGGAAAATTCCACTACCAATCCTTCATCAGCTTAAACGAAATAGGATGAACACAACGCATATATCTGACTAACCGGTAGTCTCGAAAACCTGCTCAATAACGAATTTATAAAGTCAGGCTGTAAATATATGATAGCTGAATTATGAAATAATCTAGAAGCGTTTTTAGTCATGAGAAATATGATTGAAAAAGTTATTAGTCTCAGCCACTAATTTACTAGATGTCCTCCAATGTTTACGCATGAAGTCTATGGCTGCATAAATTATATTGGACAATTTAAAACCGACTTCTTAGCACGCATACTATTTAGTGAGAGATATAAGTTTATTCTCTTTTATGAACAATATTTTCTGCAATATTCAAAGATTTTTAAGATTAGGTGTCTTTGTATGTCTAACAATAGTAGGGTACATTGTAGTCTAGTATTCCATTGATAGACAACAAAGTTGCGCAACCATATTCTGAAGTTATTTGGGAAAAAAACATTTGGTAGTATTTGTTGCGGATATGTTCATGCATTTTTTTAAATTTTCTTGTAAGGAATAGTTTTAACTGACTCGAGTTGGCAGGCGGATTAGGATGAATCGCGGAACTCGAACCGTGACAGTTCAACGTGTAAGCTCGACACGCGACCACATTGCCACGAGTGCCCTTGGATCACAGGGCAGATGTGAATTTCAGGGAAGGCCAGGCCTTTTCCCATATCACATCTTTTGGTGGGGTTGTCGATGAAGCAAACGTATATTTGCCATAACAATCGACTACTTTATTTATTTTTCGTATTTAAGTAGAGATTTGAGACACCAGCAAATAAGTAGTATGAGATGTATTCAACCAATTTCGTTTAAGGTGATGAAAGACTGGTAGTAGAATGTTCCCACAATGATGTGAATAGAGCTGACGTTTCCATTCAATTTCACATAGTCTTGCTTTCGAAAAGGAGCAAAAATACGCTTGCTTCATCGACACTTCTACCAAAGAATGCGATATGTGAAAATGTCTGGCCTACCTTTAAATTCACATCCGCCCTGTTACTCAAGACCACCATTGGCAATATGGCGTAGTGGTTAACGTGTAGAACCGATATGCTGAACTGTCATGGTTCGAATCCCGCTGGGAAAGTTGGTACGACCTATGCCAGGTCGAATATGCAGTCCACTGGCGCCTGGAATTGAAAGGAAAGGTCAGCTCATTTCATATCATTTTGGAAAAATTCTTCTTCTACTAGTACTTCATCACCTTAAACGAAATTGGGTGAAAACAT